TCAACTTTCTTGTTTTAGTAAAGAGCTTTGCGGGGCACTGGCAACACAATAAAGTCAAATGAATGCCGAAAATTAGAGGTGTTACAAGAGGGTAACAAACACGAAAAAGAAGACGGGGAGAAAAGTACGATAAATGTATGATAGGAAAGAAGGAGCAAACCATGCCAGAACACCCGCCAATCACCCACGAAAGTAAATTTACTTCTGGCTTGTGTTGGTTTCATTTTGTTTTGCTTGGGGAATATGGAAAAAAGAAAGAAAGTATAAATGAATGAATGAATCAATCAATACATGAAAGAAAGAAAGAGAGAAACAATAGAAAGATAAATGATAAAATCAAGGAAAGAACGAAAGGAAGGATGATAGACAAAAGATAAGATAAGATACATCTTTATTGTCCAGATCCTGGCACAGTGGTCTGGTGTTTCACCACGTGTACACACGGACACTCACTCACACACACACACACACACACACACACACACACACACACACACACACACACATGCACACACACGCAGGCTTACACTCACATGCATAATATAAGTGAGCAGCAATATAAATAGTTATAATCTTAAGACTCAAAGTAGTAGTAACAATCTTATGACTCAATGTTTTTCTGATGCATGGTTAGAGTCCTTCATCTCCATGGTTATTTGAATACTTATACAATATGGTTAAGATGGAAGAATTTTGATGGGTGATAGTAGAAATGACCTTCTGTATCTTTCTTTGTAACAGATCAGAAGCCTAAACCTTTTACTTCTGACTGATGTTTTTATTTGAGGGAACAAAGGATGTTTGTTGTCTGAAATGTTGGAACTAATTTTTTAAGTGCAAGCTGTTATATATTATTCATATATTATTATATATTATAATCTTGTGGCGTCGGTGGCCTAGTGGTTAGGCTCTCGGACTCGCAACCGTAAGGTCGTGGGTTCGAATCCCGTCAAGGGCCCGACGTTGTGTCCTTGGGAAAGGCACTTTACACGAATTTTCCTCACTTCACCCAGGTGGGAATGGGTACCCAGCTATAGACAGCGAAAGATCTTGTCAGTTTGTTAGTGTTTGAGCGCTTAATCGGCTGCTTGCACTGTATGCTTCCCGGGAAGCTGAGAATGTTTCGGAGTGTTCTATAGTCTGCTGGGGTAATAATATAGTGTAAAGCGCATAGAGCCTGCTGTTGAGCGGGGATATGCGCTATACAAATGCTATCTATTATTATTATTATTATCCAAGTAGGGGGATGTTGATGTTGAAATTTTACATGCTTTCCGTATTAGTCGATTTAATTTTTCTCTTGTCTTGTGTTCCCGGCCCATGCTGGTATACAAAAATTGATCATACTTTCTATGTTTGAATGATAGAATATGGACATCAATGTTTTATCGACTTAAAAATACACAAGCTTCCTTAGGAAAAATAGTCTTTTGTTAATTTTTTTATGCTGTAGAGAAGTGTGGACACGCCAGTTGAGTTTGTTGTCTATATGTCCCATGTATTTGTTGTGATGTATGTTGATGAGGAATGTTTTAATTTTACATACTGGGTTCGGTTGGTAAGAAAATTGCATATCCATGATATTAAATTGACGTTAAAACCTATGTTTTCTTATTTCTTTAAAATGATAGCCGGCTGGATAGTGTTAAAGGCTAACGAAAATTCAAAAAAGAGGATCCTACAATGTGTTTTTACAAAGGAAAATTATTGTAGTTGTTTTGGGTTTTTTTAATTTCGGAAAAGTGACCGCTGAAGATCAATTTTTACAAAAGAATCAAATAAAAGAAACATTAAAAAAAAACAGGGAAAGAAAAAAGAATTATTATAATTATTATTATTATTATTATTATTATTATTATTATTATTATTATTATTATTATTATTATTATTATAATATTATTATTATTATTATTATTATTATCGTCATAATCATCACCATCACCATCAGTATTATCATCATCATTTTTGTTATTATCATCATTATTATAATATATTGAATGATTTACCTCTGCCCTCAGTCCACCCAGAATGGCCAATGCAGACCCAAAAATAAGAACAACCCACATCTTGAACGTAGTAGTTCAGGTGACGTGCAGCTTCTGGAAAAAAGAAATTCTGGAAAAAATGTGACATAATAATATTATAATTAATGAGGTTTTTCGGCGCAATTAAGGAAAAAAAACGGCATTAAAAAGAAGGTGGTTTTTTGGTACAAATAAACATAATATAACAGAACTGTTTTTGTTT